TGGGGGGCCCCCCGCCGAACCCATCGCGGTCGATCGTAACCAACGACAGAGAGCAGTCTGGGTTATAGGGTTTTGGCGGTTGACCGCCGAACCCATCGCGGTCGACCGTAACCAACGACAGAGAGCAGTCTGGGTTACAGGGTTTTGGCGGTCGACCGCCGCACCCATCGCGGTCGACCGTGACTCAGTTCAACCGAATCCTCAGAGCTGTGTACGTTCGCGGTCGACCGCCGTGACACTCGCGGTTGATCGTGAAACAGTAAAACTATTTTTCTCGTGTTCCGACAAATCCTTCGACTTCGCTGCTTCCAACAACTCTGTCCACGACTCCTCTACACTATTCTTAAGATACCATGAGAATCACCTATCTTCAAGCTCCCATGAGGATCGCTAAGCTCCCGAAGAGAAGATACACTCGTATCATGGGTCCCCCCTTTAGGAACTTGAAGTCCCGTTCAAGTTAGAACTTCAGCTGAGGGAACTCGCGAGCCCCTCCATCTTTTTTTGCACCACTTGGCCTTGCTAGGAATCCGGTCTCGAAGTCCGATCGGAAATAACTCATTCGTTCCGCGTCTCGTCGTAGTCACCGCTCGCTCTAAGTTGCAATCCTTTGTCGATGGCTTTTCTGGAAGTCTAATGCACAGCGAGACAAACTTCTTGCTTGCATTCACTAGTCTCTTCACTCGTGTCACCGTCCCCAAGCTTGTCTCCCTCGGAAGAGATGCCGAACGAAATATGAACCTTTCACCATCCTTAGTGAAGGTGTACTTCTGAGCCTGCCTCTCGTAGATCGCATATCTATCCCATAAGTGTGAAGGTGTACTTCTGAGCCTGCCTCTCGTAGATCGCATATCTATCCCATAAGTACGGATTGCCCAGTTTAATCTGACAAACTTCCAATGGAACGACGTAGCACGTGACCTCGTCAATATACGACTCGTGGAGCGCAAATCTGACAGTGCATTGATCAACTACACACAGTTTCTCCTCCTTCTGAATCCACCCCAATGGATAGGGCTTCGGATGCTTGACCGTCTTCAGACCCAGCTTCTGAACCAATGCCTCGGATATCAAATTCTTCTAGATGCCTGAATCAACAATGGCATCAACCAAACTGGTCTTCACTTGCAGCTTAAGAATAAAGAGTTGCTCTCTCAGGTCGTCGTCCTCTTTCATGCTCTGCTTCTCCGTCATAAGGTTGAGACTGCTGTTGGGCTCTGTCAACCCCGGGACTTCTTTCGGACCTTGAGATATCATGTATGCCTTTTTCTCCTCCTTCTTCTTCAATCCTCTTGGCTTGAGATGAGGATACTTCTCCCAGCACCGGTCAGCTGTGTGCCCTGTCTTCTCGCAGTGACCACAAATCAACCCTGCTTTCCCTGGATCACCCTTCTTCTTCTCCTCTTTAGATTGAGAACCACTAGACTCGCCTCCCATCTGTTTGGAGTCTCCCTTAGCCTCGTTGCCCTTCTTTTGCTTGCCCTCGAGGGCAACAGCCTTCACGCTCGCCTCTGCAATTGATTCCACCGTGAATAACTTCATCTCCTTTCGGATGTGATCGCTTAATCCTACCATATACTTCATAAACACGGAATATTCCTCTGTCGCAATGTTGAAGACCATCGCCTGCTGCTGAAACTCCGTGGTGTATTCTTGAATGGTTTGATTGACCCTTTGACGCAAGCCGTACCACTTATACCAACGCTCTTCAAGGAATCCCACCGGGTAGAACTGCTTCCTCAGTAACTCCTTGAACTTGTTCCATGACACCGCCTTCTTCTCCTGCTTGCAGTAGGATTTCTACCACGTCAACGCGTGCCCTGAAAGCTTCAAAGTCGCGAACACAATCTTCTCTTTCGACGAATAGCCATAAAGAGTAAAATACGTCTCTATCCGCTCAATCCAGTCATCAAGCCTCTCGACGTCAACACTCCCATCATAAATAGGAATCTCCACTTTGAAGTCAATCTTCAGGTTCTGATAAGAATTCTTACCCCATTGATGTAATGCAGTCTTAACGGTCTCCTCCTCCTTGTCGGAATCTGAATCTACTCTCTCTACATCGGACTCAACAATTTTCTTCGAAGAAGATTCACCTTGTTTGCCACCTCCATGGATAAGACTGATGAGTTGTGTGAGAGTCGAACCTATCATCTCGATCTGCTTCTCCAATGCATCAATCCTCGCTGAATTGTCTCCTTTAGCCATCTTCTTCTTTCTTAAAACCTGGACACCTTCCAATGAAATAAAGATCTCGCCAAGCTTCTTGTACTGTGAGCGAGTAAGGACCATACACAGGTTTTCCCTCCACAGGATCTAGGGGCTCTGATACCAACTTGGTACGAGTCGCCGAGCGAGCACTCTTGATCGCAGAATTATCAAGAGTGGGTTGAGAAGAAAACGACTGAAGAACACAATATAATAATTTAGGCGAAGGAAAATACATTCTCTAGATTATGAGAATCAATTGGATTACAATTCTTTCTCTCACAATCTCTCTAGATCAAAGAACAACCTCCCTGATCTCTTTTCTGATTACAGTCTGAGTAATCTACCCTCTTTTTTTTTCTAGAAAAGTCGTGTTTCTATTTATACAAAATAGAAATCCTAAACAGTGCAGAAAAACCAGCTCAGGCCCAAAACCCGACTCGTGGTTGACCGCAGAGCCAGGCGCGGTCAACCGCGGCCAACACCTGAGACTTAAATAAGTTACAGGGTTTTGGCGATCGACCGCCGAACCCATCGCGGTCGACCGTAACCAACGACAGAGAGCAGTCTGGGTTACAGGGTTTTGGCGGTCGACCGTCGCACCCATCGCGGTCGACCGTGACTCAGTTCAACCGAATCCTCAGAGCTGTGCACGTCCGGGGCCGCCCGCCGTGACACTCGCGGTCGACCGTGAAATAGTAAAACTGTTTTTCTCGTGTTCCGACGAATCCTTCGACTTCGCTGCTTCCAACAACTCTGTCCACGACTCCTCTACACTATTCTCAAGATACCATGAGAATCACCTATCCTTAAGCTCCCATGAGGATCGCTAAGCTCCCGAAGAGAAGATACACCCGTATCATATAATCTTTACACTTGGCCCTTGTGGAATGTGAGAGTCGTTAATTTGTAACTCTCGCACGTTGCTGTGAAAGTCTTCACATTGTTACTTTCATCGACTGTTGTGAAGGTCGTCAGATTGTAACTTTCGCTTGTTAATGTGAAGGACGTTAGATTATATCTTTCATCATTTATTGTTTGTGGGGATCGACTATCTGCAGTAATTTTTAGACAGCCTACATTTATGACCTACAGAAGATGTCGATCACAGTGGGAGGAACCATTATGTCAGACAAATTGGTGGTGATGCAGTTCGACAAGGTTGCTACAGGGACTACCATTGAGTCCCTCGTCATTGAGTTTGATCAAACCAAATATGAAGAATACTTATCTTCGGATTCCTTTGGTGGCAAAACATCACATAAGTATCATAAAACCTTGCGTGTAACTCGGCCCTAGCAAACTAAGGTCATGCCTGAGAACTCTACCCGAGCAATCACAGGGGGTTCCATCCCTCCCAAGCCTGTTGAGGCGGGCCAAAAGGCCAAAGATGCAAACCAAGAAGTCACTCGTTGGGTTGTTAAGTAATCCGCGCAAGCTCCTGTCTCTGAGGGAACCATAGTTCGTGTTGGCATAGATCATGCCTTCACCGTCGATATGAACGCTCCTCTCTCAAAGAGAGCCAAGCAAAGGCGACGACAAGCCCGCGCTCGCCGCGAAGCACGTGCATTGATCTCCTATGACGACCTAAATTATTATTCAGGCCTAAAAAACAATGCTAAAGCCAAGAACAAATGCGAAGTCCCCAGTTCTAGCGAACTACAAGGAAAAATTCCCAGTCCTGGCAAACTGCGTTGTTCAGGCAGACCTCACATTGCGTAACTAACATGAACTATTATTAGACTTAACATGAACTGAAATTAGGCCTAACATGAACTGAAATTAGACTTAACATGAACTATTATTAGACATAACATGATATGTAATTAGACCTAACATGAACTATTATTAGACATAACATGATCTAAAATTAGAACTAACATGAACTCTAAATAGACCTAACATTAAATTAGACCTAACATGAACTCTAAACAGACCTAACATGAAATTAGACCTAGCATGAAAGAATAGTGGAGATAATGATATTTTGGGGTTTTGTACTTTTTATACTCTCTTGATGCTTAGTTGATGAGTAATAATTGCTAAAAAAGAGTTGCAGCATATGATATGACATTTCTTAGGGCTAGACCATATTGGAAAAAAATGGAAAAAAATGAAGAGGATGCAACACATTAATATATTACTTTTTGGGGATTTAGACAAGTTTCCCTTTCTTTTTCCTCAAGAATTCGAACTTTCACGAGCATTTATTTTCCTACTCGGATTACGGTAATCCGTATGAATCGTGTTTAAGTCGGTTGTGAAACTTATTAATATTCCTTTCATTCCTGAAACCCAAAAATTTTTCATCTCCAAATTCGCAATTTTTGCCTGATTTCTCTGATACACCAGTGAGGGCTCTGATCTCTCGCCGTCGAAGCTTCATCGCCGACGAAGCTCTCATCTTCAGGTTTGTTCCTTTCCATCTGAACTCTTCTTCGACTTCCTTCACTATGAATTTCAATATCGTGCTAAGAACTTAAATTTGAAATCGGAGGCTAACTTGGGATATCATTAATTGCGATAGACCCCTTGCACTACTCCCAATGGTAGATAGACCCCTGTAGTTCTGATGCTGCAGATAGGGCCCTGAGCATTCGAAATTTTTTGGATAGCTATCTGCCCTCCGGGGGGGGGGGGGGGGGGGGAGGGTGTTGTTGATTGACTATTATTACATACAAATAGATCTCCAAGGAGTGTTAAAAAAAAAACACTCAGGTGTCTATCCGCAGTTAGCCGATAGTACAGGGAGTGAGTCTATCTGCAACTAACCCATTTTACACAAACATCAATCTGATCATATGAGGGAAACTGTAGATAAATTTACACACATTTACATGCAAATGAGCACTCAGGTGTTTATCCGCAGTTAACCGATAGTACAGGGAGTGAGTCTATCTGCAACTAACCCATTTTACACAAACATCATAATCTGATCATACGAAGGAAACTGTAGATAAATTTACACACATTTACATGCAAATGAAGTAAGGACCATTAACATCAATGTGTGAAAAAACACAACACAGGCACGAAGAATATGGTTGCGTAGTGAAACTATTATAATTACAGGAAGCACAATGGCATCCGGTATGCAAAGTACAAACACACAACAGGAAAGGTGTGCAGAATGCAGTAGCTTACTAAAAGTATGGTACCACATAAAGCACGATAGCATTTTCTGTGCAAAATACAAGTATACAACAGAGGAGGTGTGAAGAATACGATAACATTTTTATACTAACAGAAAGCACAATAATACTTGATATGCAAAATAACAAGTATATACAACAACAGAGATGCAAAAATACGGTAGCCTACCGAAAGTATTATACAACAGAATGCGTGGTAGTTGTTAGAACATAGAATTATATCCCTTGACCCTCATCATAAATTTGGCGTTTTGATGTATTGATTAGAGGAACTTTAAGATGGTATTAGAGCAACACATGTTTAATTTGCACTGGTCGTGGATTTAAAGCAGATTTTGTAAAAATTGATATCGTTGCGTGAGTTTAGGTTTCGGCCCAAAAAGAGCCCTCATCATGCGGGGGCATATGTCAGAATATAAAATTATATCCCTTAACCTTCACCATGAGTTTAGAGTTTTGGCATACTAGTTAGAGGAACTTTTAGAATAATACTTGATATGAGAAGCTGAAGTACACATTACAAACAGAAGAAGTGTAATGTTAGAATTAATATAAAACTATAATCCTCAACCCTCACCATAACTTTGGAGTTTTGGTATAATGGTTAGATGAGCTAAATTTAAGATGATATCAGAGCAACACAAGTTCAAATCCCACCGGTCACGAATTTTAAGCAGGTTTTTTAAAAATTGACACTGCTGCGTGAGTCCGGGTTTCAGCCCACAAAAAAGGGCGTTCAACCTGCGGGGACATGTTAGAATTAATATAAAATTATAATCATCGATCCTCACCATAACTTCAGAGTTTTGATGTAATGGTTAGAGGAGCTAAATTTAAGATGTAAAGAAGCGAGAAAAGAAAGTGTGAAGAATGCGGTAGCTTATCAAACATATTATACAACAGGAAGCACACTGGCATGGATAGAGGGGTTTAGACAGAAGAATACATCTGGAAAAAGAAATAAAATATGCATCCCTCATTTGAATCAAGAACAATATTACTTTAGGTTAATAGTTTATTACCAAATTTAACTAAGAATTTGTACACAGGATGAAATCAAATTAAAATATTATAACCCACCCACATGATCAATGAAAATTAACTACACCAGTCACCATTTAATATGAGGGTCTTCAGAAATCCTTTTGATGCTTGGTTGACTAGCAAAAGAAAAAATTTAGAAAAGAAAACCTTACTGGCTCTCAAAATTAAATCGGTCAAATGTACGGTATTATAAGTTTATGCACTTTCCTTCATCTTCCTCTTTACTCAATTTCTCTTATAGATCTTTAACGGGCAAGCAAGAAGCATGCTACCAATGACCACAAATAATTCAGCACTCCTAGCAACTGCAGCCTCTATTGCAGCCTCGGCTGTTCTGATTCGTACCCTTGCATCTGATCTCCTTCCCTCTTCAGCTGAAGAATACTTCTCAGAAAAAATTGCTTACATGCTTGAGAGCCTGTCCTCAGATCTTATTATCACTATTGAAGAATTTGATGGTGCAATAACCAACCACATGTACAAGGCTGCTGAGTCCTACCTAGCCACTAAGCTCAACAAATCTACACGTCGCATTCGAATTAACAAACAAGAAGAGGACTCTGATAACTTTGAGGTAAAGATTGACCATGGCCAAGAAATCGTCGATCTCTTTGAAGGGATCAAATTCAGGTGGCGATTCTCATCCAAGAATAGCAAACCGAGCATTCAAACATATAATCATCGCCATATGAAGCCGAATACCATGGAGACCAAATTTCTTGAGCTAAAATTCAACAAGAAGCACAAGGACACTGCACTTAAATCATATATGCCCTTTGTACTATCACAAGCTAAAACCATCAAAGCCGGGATCAAGACTCTCAAACTCTATACAAATGACCAATACTCGTGGGAGTCTGTGAATTTCCATCATCCTTCTACGTTTGAGACAATGGCATTGGACGTTGAGCTTAAGAAGGAGGTAATGCAGGACTTGGCAAGGTTTGTAAAGAGGAAGGAGTATTACAAAAGAGTGGGAAAAGCTTGGAAGAGAGGCTACTTATTGTATGGGCCACCAGGAACTGGCAAATCGAGCTTGGTGGCGGCAATGGCAAACTTTTTAAGGTTTGATATTTATGATTTGGAGCTGACAGAGCTGAAGAGTAACTCTGAGCTACGCTCCTTGTTGGCTAAGGTAGCCAACCGGTCAATCTTGCTGGTGGAGGACATTGACTGTTCAGTGAATTTCGAGTCAAGGGAGAACAAGAAGCAATCACAGAATCAAGAGGAGTCAGTGACAGAATCTGATGATGGCAAGGTGAGTACTTAGCATGTGAATTATTTTGGGGTTTTCATATATTGGTCCCCCAAATCTTTGATATTTATATATTATTCCCTCAAATCTTTCAAATTGCTATTTACTCCTTGGTGGATCACACTAAATAAGTCCTTCTGTTTATATATCTGTCCAATTGACTGGAATCATTGTTTTAAATATCTCCAATAAAACCGATATATCAAGCAATATATCCTTCTAAAAGGCTTGTTGCAAAACGATATGTCTCAATATAATTTGCCGCTTTTTGGCAATTTTTGGGCGATATATCCCCGACATGACCGATACCTAAGCCAATACATTGATTGACATGTCCTTTTATATGGTTAGTCGCAAAACAATATACCGCTTTTTGCAATTTGTTGCTATGTATCTTGATAATCCTAACATATTGGGTGACATTTCAGCCTCAAACAAAATTTTGGCCAATTTTTTGTATGTTCAGATTTCATTAAGTATGTCTAGATTGCATTTTAGGACACACACGTGTGTTTGTGTGTGTAGAGAGAGAGAGATTAATGTGTATCATATGTCATATCAAGGGATTCCCTCATATACAATAATGTGGCACAATCTTCACTATGTATGGTTATGAGGCATTCTCTCCTACTTTATTCTCTTGGTGGAGATTGTGTCACATCATTGCATATGGCATATGA